GTCAGAATTTCTTCTGCAAGTGAACGAAAGATCATCTCGAAACACTAATTATAAAGCATCAAAACCCCATTCCAACAAGAGTTTCCACTCCATGCAAGTAAGCGTCTGCTTCTACACCCTCATTAAGCGTTATGTATTAATTGCTTCTTTCATCTTCGTTTGAGAATATAGGGGTCATGTATAGAATGAAGCTCTTGAGAAATTGATGAAATAACGAAATGATGATGTTGGGTTTGTGTGTGGAACAGAAGGAGGAGAAGAAAGCGAGGAAAGAAGGGAGGGATAAGGAAATGGAAGGAAGTGGGACGAAGGAGGAAACCCTACCTCCAGGGTTTCGATTTCATCCAACAGATGAAGAACTCATCACGAGCTATCTCTTCAACAAGATCTCTGATTCTACTTTCACTGCTCGAGCTGTCACAGATGTCGATCTCAACAAGTGCGAGCCCTGGGATCTCCCTGGTACTTTTTTTCTCCTTCCTATATATATATATATATATACTGGAAAAGTAATTCTCAACGTTCACTCTCTCAACTCCTAGATCCACTCATCTCTTGGTTTGTTCGTCAATCATTTAAACTAAAAAGCACGCACCATCTAGGGTTTCTTCTTATGAATATTTGTGGGATGAAATAGGTAAGGCGAAGATGGGAGAGAAAGAGTGGTACTTCTTCAGTCTGAGAGATCGGAAATACCCGACGGGCGTGAGAACCAACAGGGCGACCAACACGGGGTACTGGAAGACCACCGAAAAGACAAGGAAATCCTCAACAGTCACACATCGGAGTTGGTTGGCATGAAAAGACTTTGGTTTTTCTACAGGCAGAGGCCCCCAGAGGCGAGAAATCCAACTGGGTCATGCACGAGTACCGTCTTCACTCCAAATCTTCCTTCCGACTGCACAACAAGGTACTCTCTTTTCTAATCTTCCAAACACCTTCCTCCTCCTCGTACAAATCCACAAGTTACTCGTCGTTAAAAGGCATTTCATTCAATCAATTAAGACACTGGTTCAATGATTTCCCAGTTCAACATCTGGATTTCAATACTATGAAATTCTGTTCCTCATTATAAAATTATATATTTTATTATGGGCTTGTTCTATCTATGAGATCAGAGCAGTCCAACATGATATCATCATATCAATTATGTATTCTTGGATTGCATCAACATGTCAACATTAGTTAACATATAACAATCTTATATATGGATTGCACGTTATCCAAGTGATCTCAAAAAGGTTAACACACGCAGACAAGTTTTATTATGACAAGATATGTATCAAAAATGTTTAATAAAAATAAATAAAGATATAATTATTGACAAAGAATTAGAACTAAATTAGTAAGGATTAGATTTTTAAAAATGTAAGACATTTTTAGTTTTTTGATGTATAATTATTACCTTTTTTTCAAAAGTTTTCCTATTGATAGTGATTTCTATTTATTATAGGATGTTTAATAGGGATGAATAAAAAAGATAGAGTTCTTTTAAAAGTAGGTAACTACTTTATGGAGGGATAAGATTCAGTCAAAATATCTTATATTTTAACGGAAGAAGTATGTATTAACACATTATATACACATGAATATATATAGCAGAGGCTCACTTTGATATGCGTTATATCTGTAACTGTATCAGCAGGATGAATGGGTAGTTTGCAGAGTGTTCCAGAAGAGTGGTGGAGCAAAGAAGTACCCTTCGAACCACACGAGAGGGGTGAATCCATATAGCCTTGACATTGCTCCTAACATTGTGGACCGTCCATTATGCATCTCGGTGATCCTAATTCTGCTCACTTCCTCTACGGAAGGAACTACGTGAACAGTGCCTCTGACCTGGCAGAGGTTGCTAGGGTTTTGAGAGCAGCAGGAGGGTCGGCCTCAACCACTGGTATCAACCTCCCAATGCAACCCCATGCTCATCAGCTCAACTATCCTGCGGCAGCTGCAGCCGGAGGATTCACGATCTCTGGCCTCAACTTGAATCTCACCGGAGGTGGAGGAGTCACCGGACAACCCGTTTTCCGGCCGATGAACCCGCATGATGTAGGATCCAACATGATGACAGCTGGCAGTTCTCTTAATGGAGCAGATCATGTAGGGTATGGTGCTGCAGAAATGAGCAACCCTAAATATTGGTCCAAGCAACAGGTTCATTGGGATGGACCAATGTGTGGATTTAGATAACTACTGGGCTTCCTACTAACTTGATGGGGAGATGTTCGTCAATTAGCTTTTGTTTTTTTTCCAATATGAAAAATTTAATTATGAAACTGTGTAGTTGGATATCGTCTACCTTAAGGCTGTGCTTTTTCTAGTGTTCTTAATTATAAGTTGATGATCAACTGGGTAAACACCCACAATCGCAATATTGTACCTCACCAAGCTTTTAATTAGCTTTTTGGACTTTCTTTATGTTCTCATTTGAGTATCATCACTGGCTATATATATTGCTCCATGCATGCATGCTTATTCCCTTATTTCCCATGATTCACTTGCAAAGCTACCTGATTTCATCCATCGTTTTCTTTTCTTTTCTTTTCTTTTTTTTTTTTTATGTACGAGTGGTATTTACATCCGCAGATATTAATAATTCCAATTCAGAAGGGAGCAGTTTAGGAATTCGGTTCCTTATAACTTCTGTAAGGTAATATTTTGATAAGTGGATTTGTATTTAAATTTAAAATTTCAAATCTGGTATTTCAAATTTCACATTTAAAATTTATGCATTTAAATTTTTTTTTTGTTTGGATAGTTTAAAAAATTTTAAATAAAGAAAAGAGATGAGTCAAGAATTGAAACAAAAATTGAAAACTAAAAATGATGGGTGCCTCTATATTTTTCAATTAATGAGAAATGAAAATGAGGTGACTAAAATTTTAAATAACTTTGAAATTATAAAATAATTATAATAAAAAAATAGTTTTGAATTTGAATTTGAATCAAATTTAAATTCATAACTTCTTGTCTTGTGCATCCAAATAAGAGATTTAATCCAAATTCAAATTCTCATTAATCCAAATATATCATAATATTTTGAAAATAGTGCAACTTGTCATAATTTTTTTTATTTTATATGTAGTGGTATGTATGTATTGATATTGAGGATTAATGATGAGAATACATGCAAAGAAAGCATGGCATGCACAGAAGGAACTCATTGTATTACATTTTCCTAATTCCTAAATATTCCGTAATTTTACTCACCATTAATTTGTTAAGACTCACAAGACCCCGTCTTTATATATTTGGAATAAAATTTACATTTGTTCGGAAAAAACATCTTCCGGTCTACTTACTCTCATAAATTAGACCACTATTTACAGCATAATGAGGTATACATATTTATTTTTGCTAAAAATATTTAAATATATTAATTACAAATTAAAAATACAAGAGCTTAGTTGTTCTGTTCCAAAAAAAATAACAAAATGAAAACTAAAAGAAAAGGAATTAATTAAAAAAGTCACCGCCACTTGCATCATTGGGTATAGAGATATTCCATAGAGATGGGAGATTTGGTTTAAAATAAAGGAAATCGAGCATTCAAATCATAAATAGACGAGGAATTTTTCGTTTTTTTTTTTTTTTCCTCCTTCGATCCCGTTTTGACCTTTTTTGTTAGGATAAGATTGTCACGCATGAGTTTCGAGCTTGAAATTTAGCTGCTACTTTATTTTCTACTGAACAGCTTTCGTCAAGAAGGAAATTTTGTTTTTGGTTTAGGGGAGGTGGAATAATGCCTATGCTAACATGCACTCCCTCCGGTCATATTTATAAAATATATTTTATAAAATCTATTTAATCTCATTTATAAATTATGTATAACTTTTTAAATAATATTTAAAAAGTATTTTTTAAAATTCTCTTCATAAAAAAGTAATAAAGAAAAGAAAGTAACAGAATATTATTTTTTAAATTTATTATATAAGAGCATATTTAAAATTTTATACACCTTTGTTTTATTTACTTTTTTTTATATTGATATTAATAAAATTGATAAAAATAATTTATAAAAAGGACTGAAAAAATAAACCCTTGATTCAGATGTACGATTCAGTTCACACGCACATTGAGACGAAGAATATTCATCTTAATAGTAAAAAACTAATTTCTCTCCAAACCACATCAGAAACAAAAACTCCCACAGCTCTCACTACTCTGGGTTGTTATCAAATTAATCTGGATAATGTTTAGATAGATGAATTTAAATTTAAATTTTAAATGTAAAATCTTGCATGTCAGATCTCTTTAAATTCTTCAGTTAAGTAATTTAAAAAACTATAAATAAGGAAAATTGATGAATTGTGAAAACAAAAATGAAATATAAAAAATAATGAGAAATAAGGAAAGATAAAAAAAATCACAAAAGTACTAATTGAAGAAAAAGTTTGAAATAATTAAAATTTCAAACAATTAGAACATAAAAAAATTTAAAATTCTGAAAAAATTATAATTTAAAATGAGTTTTTTTTATTTTAAATTTTAAATAAAGAAGATTGATCAATTGTGAAAATAAAAATGAAATATAAAAAATGATGAGTTTATTTTTATTTTTCATTTCACAAGAAATAAGAAAAGATAAAAAAATTATAAAAGTAATAATAGTAAAAATATTAAAAGAATAAAAAGTTTGAAATGACTAAAATTTAAAATTACAAAAAAAATTATAATTTAAAATAAATTTGATTTCTAAACCTATGTATCCAAATAAAAAATTTAATTTAAATATAAATTTAAATCTTCATTAATTCAAACACAATTATTGTATATCATACCTCCTTTCATCACTAGATTTTCTTTCTAAAACAATAAAAATATCACACTTGTATTAAACATCTCTATTTTAAGATTTTTTTTTTCTTCCCAACATTCTTTCCAATTTTTTTTTTCTTCCCATCTAAACAAGGGATAGTCCACCCATCGGCAATTGATTTATGTCGGCAGCAGTCGCATGAAAATAGTACGAACAGTCCAGTTGTGGCTGAACTGAAGAGTAAGCCGTAAATTAGTTTCTTTTCTTAAATTTTAAATTCCATCAGATATCCTCAATAACCACATCTGACTCTGATTATGATGAACAAATATCGACGTGGACACATCTAAATATGTTGAGAATTTAATTTCAACAGAGAAGAAGGTAAAATAAAAAAATATAGCACAGCCGTATTACAAGAACATCTAAGCATCTTATGTGTCCAGCTCCACAGTGTGACATCACTAAAGCAAACTCTCCCAAAGACCAAATGCAGAAGCTTCAGTATCCAAAGAGAAGGGAATCTCAAGCCCCTAAGATGCCCGCGAGACCAGGAAAATCCATCTGCAAGAAATGACAACATTGTAGTTTCAGAGACATAGCAGGATAATGGTAAAGCCGAAAGATTGGCCAAAATGCTCAACCACCCTGATAAAATGGTAAATTGCTTAACGCAATGTCAATAAGAAACTGCTAGTGTGCAAGAGTTAAATCATGCTCCCCATAGTTCCACTCATGACACTTGACAGAATATATACATATGACCAACAGTGGCACCTTTCACATGCCTATTCCTTACCCTGCAAGGTGAGGGATTTTGAAGGAAATGAAAGTTACAAGAGATAGGTTCACCACTCATGTCTTACTGCAATTAAAAGAACCTGAGACAGAGTAAAATGATGTGAATCACAAAGCGAAGAGGATGTCCAGTTGGGGACACACCCAAGAAACCTTCCCCACTGTCACTCTTTCACTCTACTGAGGGTAAAGTGACGCAAATCAGATATATCATGGACCAATTGGGGATTGCTGCAGTTTTCTGCTTGTTTAGAAACATTTTTTACAAATGGAGTTTCACAAGAAGCATTATAAGAGAGAAGCCATTTGCTTGTGGCAGAATCTTTCAATAAAAAGTTTGACAAATGTTAGTGTTTGGCTCATCTTCTATAGAATATATCTTTACTGTCAAATTATAATAAAACGACATGAACTTTTAAAACAGTATACGAAGGTTAGAAGAAATTATAATGATTAATGATTTTGAAGATGGATGCAATTGTCTTCAAGAAACTGTTTTTGTTTTTCGTACATGCTCCTAAAGAGAAGCTTCAAGTTTTTGCTCCCAAACCGCCTCCCCCCCCCCCCTTTTACAGAATCACAGCCAAGTACCTCATTTAACCAAAAATAATTAATTCACCAAAGAAATAAGTAGTTTCTTTCCCTTCATAAGCATGGCTAAACAGGGGATTGTCCCAAGAACTAGTGGAAAAGTGGAAGCTAAAAGAAACGGATACTGTCTGGGATAAGCAAGGGATTGTTCTTTTAAAAATTTACACAGGTATTCTCCTCAGAATTCCCATATAAGCACAATGACATCCGTGTAAAACCGGACCATTCATGAATCATAAACAGTGTGACTTATTTCAAACATGCAAAGCGTGGACTCACAATCTAGTTATGTATGGCAACAGACTATAAAACTAGGGTTTTAGAGTCTTCACATCATATAGAGAGCTATCTACCTCAATGATGGTAAAGCATACCTAAACTGCCCTTTCAAAAATTAAGCAGGAAACAAGGATGTGGCATCTACTTGTCTGGATGCCCTCTTTTAGCTTTCCGGCGTGCATGGTGGGAATTTACATTTCGAACTCGTTTATTTCCCTTTTTGCTGCAGCAGACAGATAAGAACTTGAACCAGCCCCAAATTTCAAATATAGACTTATATAACACAAAGAAAACAGATTCAGCATAAGAATTTTGAAGAAGTATATTTTAGAGACTGACCCAAAAATGGCAGAGAAAACTCTAGCCAGTAAAATAACAGGTAAGGCTAAGATAGCAGAGGCCTGCAAGTTGATAGAGCATTTGTCACACAATCTAATCATTGATTGTCAATTCAGTAACAGGACACAAAAAACCATATGATACAAACCGCAAACCATTCCAACTCCTTGGTAGCCAGAGGTCTTGTAATTTCATGCTTTTTTAGCGTCTCCTGAACAGCAGCTTGGACCTGAATAAAAGTAAATAAATAAACACTCAAAATACCATAACATGGTCAATACTTCCTTGATGAACAGTCACAGAAAAGTCAACTGGACTCTCTGAGAGTATAAAATTATAATATATTTAAGCAAACCGGTCCCCTCAAGCATCACCACAGAATCATGCTTGGCCCCTCAACTTTGGGCTACATAGAAGTCAAGAATTGTGCAATGATACCTTTGACTAATGTACTAGCCATGGTCAGACAAGAAACAAACACAAAGGCGAAGAATTTCAAGAGCCATCATGAACCACTTCATGCAGAGAAAACCGGAGAATGTTCATAAGCATAAAGAGCTCAACCATCCAGAGATTAATACTTGTTAAGTTTAAATTTTAAGCATACAACACAGACGCAGAAAACAACAAATGATACTGTACTGGAATATTATGCAAAAGGAAGAAAAGGATTGTCTTCCCACTAGTAACCCCAAGAGAATGGGGAGCATTTTGTTCACTTTCAGGCGATGAATCAATAACAAGGCACTTCAATGTAGAATTACAAGATACCATGTCAGTTCTTGTTTACATTCAAGGGGATGGATCTTCCACCAGGAAACAACACCTACTCCCCCCATAGTGAAATCGCAACAAGCTTTGCAAAATATTTGATGGCACCAGTAAAGTTTGAACATAATACCTGACTGTGATATGCAGTAGCTGATTCCAAGAATTTCCCATATGCATGAATAACCTTCTTCGTGTAAGGCTTCAAAGCCACTTGGACTTTATCAACATGAGGTTTGGCAGCAACAGCAGCCTGATCAATGTATGGCTTTGTGAACCTTTTAGCTTCCTGTCACTCATTGGAAAATACCCTAAGTAGCACATCAGCGAGGGGAAAACCCTAAGGATAAAATGGTGAAACATGTACCTGATAATAAGGATTCACAAATTCTTGTAACCTGTTAAAGTGTGGAGTAACTGCATCTTTTGTTACCTTGTAAACTTCAACTGTTTTTGCAGTTAGTAATTGCACATGAGGTTCAGCACTCGTTCTCATCACAGACCACTGCTCTTTTGCAGCAGGGACCCATTTCTTGAAGTGATGAAAGAAAGAATTAGAGGGAAAATAATTAAACTGGACCAGGGTATTGAACAAATCAACTAATTTTCACAGATACAAAACAAAGCAACTTCCATATGATAACATTGCCTAGTACAAGTAAAATAAACAAAAAAACTCTCAAGGGAACTCGTCTTCTACCCACAGGTCATGGTCATTGCATTATAAGGTATTTTCTAGAAAATGAAAAACTTAAAAATACATGCCATCAGATGGCCCATTGCTCCATTATACCCACACGAATATACAGAAACATATCTAGAAATAACAAATGAAAAACCTATGAGAAATAGAAGATTATTTGCATTTTTTCCTGGTGAATAAATGACTCACAGTTTTTATGGTTTCCAGATGAGGTTGAGCCCACTTTTCAGCTTGTGCCTTTTTCTCTAGTGCCTGTTGTAGAGATTAAAATTTAAAATAATTAAACCAACAATTTATTATTGATCAGACGTGTCGCATGTATCAATAGAAACCAATTAACTACCTTCCGAGAAATCACTTCCCAAGCAGGTTTCACATGTTCGTTCCAATGAACCTCAACCAAGGACTAGCAATAAATAAACAAATAAATCAGAACTTACTAAGAAGACCACTTTCAGAGAGTATCATGATGGATAAGACATCAACTCACCTTACAGTGGACTAAGTGCACAGCAAGCCAAGGTGGAAGCCAAGCGCCATGAACCTGGTCCAATAAGACCAATATGCATCAGTAGATGCCAAATACATAACAAAAAGATTGTTCCTACAATTACTATTCACCAGAGAACTGAAAGAAATTTTCAAATCTCTCACTAAAACTAGCTGCAGGAAGCAGGTGCTTGAGGGAAACAAAATTAAAACCAGTTAATCTCCCTCAATAACCACATGAAATCATCTAAAGCTCTCTTGAGAATGATACCATCTATATGTTCAATCACTTTTACTCCTAAGATTGATTCGTTTTCATCAGATAATCACATCAAGATATTTGAATGGCTAGCAAAAGCAAGCCAACTGTATCACAACAGCAAGTCGCTCACTTAAATCAGCTAGCCGACAACAATGGTTCACAAAATAGGCAGTCATATCTGCCACTCCCACAAGAGTTTTCAATCAGTACGTAACAAATGATTTTGCTTAAAATCAAGCACCATACTGTTGCCGCTTATCATTTGCAAAACTTCCCTTGAATCCCAGCTGCCATAGGTGAACTTGTCGCTCATACAAGGTTTACTTTGTTTAACTTGGGGGAAAACTATTTCAGCACCAAGCGCAGTAATGGTAATTAGCCTGAACTAATTCAAAGATTTGTAACTGTCTACCACTACACCTGGGAAAGATAATTAGATGTATGCACATAAATTATTACCCGTGATAACTCTTCCCTTCTGGATGTTGCCTCAAGCTTTGCCTTAAACATTTCTTCCTAAATAAAATTAATTCAAAAAAAAAAAAGAGCAGCCATCAAAATTGTTACCAAGCACCTGAACGATGAAGAGGAAAAAACCAAAGCAATAACATACCTCAGCAACTTTAAGAGCACGCTCTGATTTACGAATCACCTTCTTTTGTTCCTCATTAACCTTTTGAAGCTGTGAAGAGTCACTACTCGAGTCAGCATATCATCCTCAGACAATTTTTTCTTTATTATTAAAATAATGAACTTGGTTTGGTGAACAATAAACTATATGTTGTCACCACCATTTAAGATGATTGGTTTACAACAAGCAATCTTGTCCTTTACTAGCTTTCGCATGATAGAAGAATCATCCACTAGCCAACAGCAATAAATAGAACAGTGGAAATATGATAATAGCCGAGCTTATGTTCTAGCAACACACAATAAAAGTAGAAGAGAGAGTTTGGCATCACGCTTTGTCTAACCAGAAACAAACTAACCAGTAATTTCCTCATTACCTTAAAAACTCTCCCATATGGACACAGCACATAAAAGGGTACACTGGATATGCTTGTAAATCATCAACTATTAACTAGGAACCTCATAATAAAGGGGGGAAGGGAAATTTGGCATAAGTATTTTCAACAGAGAAATTTAGATACATGACTCCAACAAAAACAAATACACAGATACAATCTACATATCTTTCCACTTCAATTGTAAATATAAGAAATTGATTCCCAAAACATTACAAATATAGGATGTGATTGAGGCAGAATAGAAACAATCTAAACAAACGCTGAACTTACATCTGCTAGTTTTGAGTTCAATTCGTGAATCTTCTTCTCAGCTTCATTTACCCGGGCTTCCAAGGACACTTTTTCCTTCTTCTGTAATTCTAGTTCCCTTTTTAGCCTGCCAACCTATATAAAAAAAGTATTTGAATGGGTAAATGAATCGAAGAAAATTTCATGATCCAACCAATCCTAAATCTAACCTTCTTTTCCAGTTCGTCAGCACGTGCATGAGCCTTTCCTACCTGCTCCTCAGCATACGATGTCCCTTTTTTCTATAAGGAAAAAAAAAAATTGACAGTTAGAGATTACGACACAGTTTAGGATATGCAGTCCATCTCTAACCGTGTTTCAAAATGTTAGAACTGGATTATTAATAACATTTTTGGGGGCCAAGTATACTTCCACCATTTGATGTCTTTGAACTGAAGTAACACGATAACCAACATTTCCATGGCAAGTTGAAAACAAAATACAGGATGAGCAAAGTTGGCTTCTCAAGCTTTTACCTGGAGGGCAACAATGTCTTTCTGCAGGGACTCAATAGTATTTGAGCTGTCTTGAATAATTTTTTCCTTTTCTGCTATTATTACATCTTTCTTCTTCACTTCTTGAGATCTTTCACTGATTTGAGAATCTTCAAATAAAATTAGAAACCATTAGCCATAAGAAAAAAGAATGAAAACCCACCTCGTTGGAGGTCAAGCATAATCGCAAAACTATTTTTACAAGCACTAAATCACACACGTATAAACACACAAGGTGATATATCATCAATGTCGTAAGACACAAACCATTTTTACTCACCCAGAAGACAAAATCGCTCAAATCCTGCTTCCACAAGAAATCTCAAGCTATCAAAGGCAAACAATTTTCACCCCCTCTCCCCTTTTAAGATGTGATTTAACAACAATTTTAAACTTACGCTTTGAATTCTCTAGTAATTGAGTATTGTTCATCAGACTATGAACTTGACGACCCTGGATTTAAGATTAAATAACAGCCGCGCCATAATTTCATTCAACCTCATCAGTTTAATACGCGACAAACAACCTTGGACTGCTCAAAAACTAAAGCTCCACCCATCAATCACTCTGAATTTCATATCTTAAAAAGTTGAGTCAAACTCCAGGATTCTTCTTCTTCTTCTTCTTCTTCTTCTTCTTTTTTGAAGAAATCGTGTTCATAGTTGCCCTAATAGACACTAAAATATCCGAATGGACACGACAATGATATTGTCCCCCCTTCCCAAGGGGGGAAAAATCATCGACAACTATTCTCAGATTTACTCTCTTCTTTTAGTCTTCCATTTTATCATCAACTAAATATTAAAACTAAAATTGTTCGAAGCAAATAAAGGAGGACAGGAAAAACTAATTTGAATATTTCTAGTAAGAACTGACCAAGAGTAAGGATCTTGGACTTGAGTTGATCCAATTCGATCTCAAGAGCCGAAAAATCAGAGCCGCCGTCGACTACGTTTACTCCAACGGAGCCATCCGGTTCACCGCCTCTGTCGACGGAAACATCGGCCCTGATGTGGGGGTAAATTAGGGCAAGGAAAAGCGCGAGCAGAACGAGGAGCTTCGGAGGCGCCATGAAATTGCCGCCAACAAAGCCAGGCAACTCTAAATACAAACGAGGACCAGACACCGAATGATATTCATTTCTTCGCGGTGCGGCATCAAACACATTATAAATACCTGCCATTTTGTTGTTGTTGTTGTTGTTATTTTTATTTTTATTTTTTTACGTTTTATCGTCCGTGTAGTGTTTGACGGCAGAGCAATGCTTCTCCAACCACTTGCAGAACCGATTCCGCTCCTTCCACTGACGTGGTGGTTTTCGCAGCCGTTGATCTTAAAACAGTCAAGGCATTGACCAAGCTGCAGCTCAAAGGTAGTGCCACGTATGCTTAGATTCATCAAACATCACGAAAGGAGTAGGTTCGTGTTGGTGGTCATTTATTCATGGGAATATTACGTATGAATTCCGTAAAGAAAATTCATTCACAAATAAATATAAAAAAAAATTAAAACTATAATTAAATCTCTTAAAATCTTGAATATAATTTAAAATTAAAATATAAAAATAATAATATTTTTATTAAATTTATAATTACTTTATTAATAATTTATAATTTAATTATTTACAATTATAATTTTACATATCTAATAGTTAAATTTAACATGTATTATTAACAAAATTTAAAATCAATTATTTAAAATTACTTTATCAACATTTTATAACCATCACTTTAACTTTTTTATAATTATAATTTTATACATCTAACAATTAAATTGATAATGCATTATTAATAAAATTTAACATTAATTATTTACAACTGCTTTATCAGTAATTTACAATTATCACTTTAATTTTTTATAATTATAACTTTATACATTCAATAGTTAAAAGATTTGAATATTTGATGTAAAAAAATTAAAATTATGATTGTAAAAAATTAAAGTAATAATTATAAATTATTATAAATTATTTAATTGATATAATATATTGGACATTATTATCTCTACATTTTAATTTTAAATTACATGTAAGCCTAAAAAGACCTAGCTGTAATTTAAAATTTTGCAAAGCTTATATATAAATAAGTCTATTTTATGATACATATATTTAGTTTTTTTTCTTTATTTATATAAAGTTTCAGATGCATTTTAATTTTTTAATTTAATGTGGTTGGTCTTTGAATCTACCCGGATGCGAGTAGATCTCATCTAACCTTTAATAGTTTAATCAAAGTCGCGGATTCGGCTCTGGAAAAAAAATGTTTTTTTTTTTAAAAGGTCGTATCTTAGCCCAGAAAGAAAAGGTCCCATCTCGATCACTAGGACCCTCAACCGTCAGCACCGGCGCTCTTTTAATTTAGCCTTAATTAAATGTATCGATTATAAAATTGTGATTTTATGATATTTAGGAGCGATATAAAAAATTAAATTAGAAGTGTTAAAGAGAGAATTGCAAAATTATATTTAAAAATAAAGTTATTTACCTCAACACCATTAGATTATAATATAATGGTTAGTATCCTTCAACTGAACCTCATCTAAGATTAAGGGAGCTTAATTAATTGTCCAAAATCCTAAAGAACATGCGATGTGACCAAAGCAATGGAGGCATAATTTTTTGGTCCCGAGGAGAAGAAAGCAACAGATATATCATAAATCATCTACGTCCTCTTATTTCATTTATATTTATACCTTTATTTATTCACGTGAATATCAATAACTTTCAAATGATAAATAATATGACTTAATTTTAAATTTATATATTAGCAACAGCTAATATAAAATAAAATCAATATTACATTGTGTAACTCAGGAAGGATTCGCCTTGTTATTTATTTTTACTTTAATCTTTTACTCTTGACGGTAATTTTTTCAATCTTATCCTTAATTTATTTTATTTTACATTTTGAATTGTAGTTTATTTCAATCTCATCCTTAATTTTTATTTTATGTTTTATTCAGTCTTTTAATTTTATTTTCCTGCAATAGGTTTATTAATTTCTTAAAATTATTCAAACATTTTTTAAGCTATTATATTAAAATGCCAAGCTGAGGTTAAAGCACCACCTAATTAAGGAGACATGGATGCTTCTTCGTTTGGCTTCTCATTCGTCAAAGAAAAACAGTGTATTTAGGTTCTAGTCCTTATTTGTTTTCTAATTTTTAGTCGAAGCATCAATATAATTCCTTCTTACTACCGCCACATGTTTACCAATATATTTCGTTTCCTTGTTTTATATTTTTCACTTTCAATGGTTCGCGGAGGTAATTAACGCATGATTATTAAGCTTTTATCTCATCTTCACACTCTTGTTAATTAAATTTAGTTTTGTGGGAAATAAATGCAGAACATTTAAATTTAAATCAACGTTATTGCGAGTCGGTCCTTGATGACAGGTTGTCAGATCTTTTTTTTTTTTTAACCTTAGGTTGTCAGGTCCTTTGACCTTCGTGTAGTAGGAAAATGATGGAGATTGACTATTTAGCAGATTAATAAGATGAATTTTGACTATGACTAATTCCAAAGCTGGGGTTCGAGATAATCCTGACAAAAATGTAGCCTAGCGGACTTTATATTCAAAGACTTGACTACGTTTTATATTTTTTATATTTCCCCTTTATTCATTAAGCCACGAAAACGTGCATCCATGTGACAGGGGAGAAGATAAAAGAAAAGGAAAATATTCCTCCAATTTCGTATAGGTGTTATTTGATGTCATTTTTTTGCTCCACATTTCTGACTGGAATTAAAGCGATTTTCATCTTTTCTTCGTATCAATGGATCAGATAAATGAAATAAGTTCATGATAGTATTAATTAAAGATAGTTTCAGTAACGCAGCGGCGAGCACTGCTGCCAAGAAAGATTCTCAAGACAGGCGATTGTGTATTACAACAATATGTTTTTATTTGAATGTTGAAAAAATTAGTCTTTTAATTTTTTAATTTTTAATTTAAATTAATTCTTCAATTATAATTCATTGTAATTTAATCTTTTAATTATGAGTCGTTACAATTTAATTTTTTAATTTTTATCTCATTTATAATTCGATTCTTATTTTTTAATTTTTTTAAATTTTTTATCAAGTAAAAGGAATAAAGAGAACATTCATATTTTATCTAAAATACCTTTTTTTTACTTTTTGATGTGAGAATTAAATTAACATAAAAAATAAAGCTAACAAAAGCTGAGAGATTAGATTAAAAGTGAGTTAAAAATTAAAAAACTAAATCAAAAATAAATTATAATTAAAGAATTAAGTTATAAATAAATTAAAAATTAAAGAATTAAAAAATTAATTTATTTTTGAATGTTTTACCTGTTTACAATATACCATATAGGCATATGTAAGTCTATCCTCCATATCTATCTGTTTTTTTTAAAAAAAAAATTGTCTGGATTGATTGTATTTATCGAAGAAGAAGATATTTGATTGACCTCGATCACCATCCAACTTCTTGTACTGACATCCCTATTTCACCGTCTTTTAATTTTTCTCTCTTAACTTTCCCCATGTTGCGGAGTTCTTCTGTATACCTTGATATAATTTATGCTTCCTCTCTTGCCGCTTCCCTAAAGAATAGTATAATGTCGCCAAACAATGCAAGTGAAAAACGATCTATATCATCTTTCTTTTTCTTACAAAAAGGGAGGCCAAGTATGAACTGGTAGTTGGTACACCTCCTAAAACATGTTTCTCCTCCTTCACATAACGTAGTTTACCAATGCGTTACATTGGTTTTTTTTTTATTTTTTTATTACATCAACAGAATTTGACTTCGTCAGGAGGTTTTGCTGGCTATCATTCTGGAATACTAATTTCGTAAAATTGTGCATTCCATTGTCATTATCAGTGAGCACATTAAGGCACACGCCGAACTCGAAACAACATAAAGATATAATATCTATTGTACGATGCCTAAATAATAGCTGCCCACATACACTAGAGCCAAGCCTAGCCACGGAAAAGAGAGGAGGTTCTTTTAATACAGAACGAAATACAAGGGAAAAGAAAAGACGCTTTTGCTGATGGAATGGACGGGCATGCATGAAGAGTAGGGAGCAACAATATCAATCAAATTATACAACTTTTAGACCGATTGAGTTTACTCAGATATAAGTAAATTAATAAGTCAATCATAAGTAAGTAGCGGATCGTTCTCAATAAAAAGCAAATTAAACCCCAGTTTTACCATTCAAGACAGATTAACTCGATCTACTACTAATTTTTACAGTAGACCAAATCTACCATTCAACTTTCCAATCTACATGTCTACTTGACTAGACAAGACATCCTATAACGACACAGATGCTGCAACCTACAAGTGTAGTACTGGACCCAAACACCATCAGTCACACAGCTCGCAGTATCACTCAAGACTCCAGGGTTTGAAATTGTTACAGGTGATATATATCAAGGTCCTCAAGTCCAAGGGCTGAGTTCTGAGCACCAACCGTCATGGCGGCAGAATACGAGGCATCGTTTCCATGGGAAGTGATGGTCGGAGACACGTGTGCCATTCGGGGCAGGTTATGTGGGTTCAGGCGGTGACTCTGAGCCCGAAGAAGCTGGCTGTTCAAAGTGGTTAAAGAACCGCGACCACGAGCCACGATATCTTCAGCCAACTTCACCTAAAATTAGATACACCACACACATATTTCCTTAGCAACAATTAATGAATGTTGATTTATATATATTCGCTTGCTGAACATACTGGGATCCTTTCTTCCCCTTTCTCCTTTCTCATTCTTCTGAAACAGGGAAGACAAGGTAGCCAAGAGCCTAAATATATATCAGCTTGACTCTAACTGTTTGGCTTATCCTAGTTAGGAAGAACAATATTAATTACCAAGCAGAATTTCGTCGGTGAAAAGATATCTCGTATAGCTATCTTTAAGTCTAACCTTAGAGCCTATTTTCCGATTCCTACTTTATTTTCTTGGAACCTAATTGTTATTTTTCTTTGTTTTTCTCCCAAACAGTAATTCAGTAACTTTCGGCTTTAGATGATCATATATTAAAATTAGTTTATCTCCCAATGATTGATCGTGATATACTGTGCATTAACATTACCTTAGCTCTCAAGGCTTCCACGCCTGATTTCAGCACTCGGTTATCAGTATCAGCCTCACGATAATGTTGATCAGCATCTATAAGCTGCTTGGATAGAGTTGCATTTTCCACTTTAGTTGCTCAACCTGAAAAAGCAAAAAAGTTCAAAATTTCTTAAAGGAAGTTGGAATACTAGGTAAAATTAATGCAGACGCAAAGAAAATATGACTTCCGATCATTCGAATATCTTACCGGGGGCAATAATTCTTGTTATATAAATAAAGACCAATATTCAATCAAATACCTCGAACTCCCCAAAAATTCGTTACCTGTGACTCAAGGCCAGCCAAATGCGCTTGTTTTCTTTTTCTCGATCTCATTGCAGAGTCTCGATTAGATTTCTTCCTGAGACGATGATAACACGTTAATAAAGGGGGAGGATGAAGTTGTGACCTGTTTGGAGTGTTTCAATATACCTTCTGTCCCGCTTATCATCAGTGTAACCCATGATCTGTTCAAACCTGTTTCGTCATCCTCGTCAGACTGCTCACCACTTGAAGCTCCTTTCGCTTGATTATCTCTTGGGTTTGGTTTATTAGCTGACATAGGGCTTCCAACTGGCAAGTAGCGTTCAAGGAATCACAACGTATGTGGATAGCATTACCGGTATCACAAATAGATGACTAACACTCAGGTATATATGTTTGTCATGATAGAATGAATAATAAATTAAAAGAATGGGAATGAAAATGAGAATTGGAATGCACGCATGGCTTATATATGATCTTATTTAGCATATCTGAATTAAGATGAAAATATCATGTGTTACTATGTTTGATATAGTAGAAATATGATAGGAATGGGAAAGGTACAATAACAATTTACCGTATTGTATCCTAGAGCTATAGTACATTATTTCTTCTCTTTTTAATGGAATGATCTGGTGGGGTTTTAATGGAAAAAGGAATTAATTTCAAGTGAACCAAACATGATATATAGAATTAGTACTATACACTTTCTCCATCTCCCTTGCCTTCAAATCCTTAAGCCAAACGTACCGTCAGTGATGGTAGAAATGGGAGAACGACTGGGTGTGATGCTCTGGGCCCAGGGAATGCTATCTTCTAATCCACCACAGTGAGAAAATTCACTCGCGGTTTCCTGCAGGAAGTCTGGATAATTGAGCTGGAATTCTTAATTAAAATTCAATATTTAATTCAATCATCAAGTAAAATCTAATTACATGACAGATGACCAAAAAATTACTAAAAAAATATAAATACAAATACTAATAATCACTTGATGCTATTGTTATATTGAGATTCCGCTTCGTTTGTTTAAGCCATGGGATCCGATTTAACATGTTTCGGTTTATAATTGATGAGGTTGGCTGCAGATTAGTTAAGAGGATACCTTTAATTTGTATCAAAGCTAGGTGATCAAGACAATTATTTTCATACATTTTTTTTGTCATTACTGGCCAAAAGAATATTCTCTCACTTATTCATAGAAAAAATATTGGAAAAATTGCCTTTTCTATGATATATCAGGCGGAATATAATCAATGGATTTTTATTTTTTTTTTTCATGGTTCTTATGCATTTTTTAATATATAACGTAAAAATTCTAAGAAGCCATGCTATTTATAAATTTGCCCGAATAGAATGTATTTTAAAAAAGAAAAAATTTATATGATTAAATTTATATATTAAGATATTTATTTTCAATTAAATTGAAACATGTGTATTTTCTATAGATTAACAAATTTTTATTGCTAATATTATCAATATATTAAAATTTATCTGTCTTTAGTTGATTCGATAAAATTTATTAAGTATATGAGACTTAATATTTAAATCTTATCCTTTTAAAAAAAATGGTTTAAGTTTGGATGCATTTGTTCAGTGCATCTGAGAATGAAGTAGGGAACTTATAGTGTCACTTTGGGCTAAAAAATTTAGATCACGATAGCAGGAAAGGCCGAAGTGTGAATAAATCCAAAGAAGAGGGCGAAGAAATAAAACTTGATCACAATGACAAAATTAACCCTCTGCAGTGATCTAAATTATCGGCAACAGGGCAAGCAAGAAAATAGCAAAATAAAACTTCCACTAAGCCGTACAACAGGTCAGGCCTCGTTAACAAGCCAATTACAAAAACTCCTATTGATGGGGCCATTTTTTTTTTTACCCCCTTTAGAAAAATGTGAACGAATTTCCACTGCCAAAAGGGTATTAGCAATTTAGTATGCCCGACTTAGTAATAATCATTCAAGAAAAAATAACTGCTTTTTTAACATCATATATCGGGGTCCCACAGATCACTTTTAAAGAAGGCTGTTACAGGGACAACAATAATTACAATCGCACAACTACTTACGAATTTTTTTTCACATAACATTTAAAATGTCTAGAATAAAAGTATTATTACTTTTTTTTTGGGGTAAAAATGAGCATTCGGAATAGATTTTTACTCAGATTTCTCCTGTAGAGAAAAAAAGTAAAGACAGACAATACATGTGTCCGCGTCCGTGAGGTTATGTTTTGCAAGGCCAGCAAAATTTGCACAGTAATTCATATTCAAATTTCATATATATCATGATGATTATTATGATTTTAGTGACAATATACTAGCACTATACAAGCTGCCAATTTAAGCACGGTCACGAAGAAAGTGTGCTAGATGCGAGGCTGCCACGTCCCAAGCTAGCGATTGAAACCGCTTGGTGACGTGGCAAAAATGGCTCCAACGTGGTTCCCGTGCGAAGAATGCATCCGCGTCATCCCCCCGGTTTCACGTCCTCGTCGTTCACGGATCCATTAGTCATTCCTGATAATGTCGCCAACGCCATAAACTCATCCAGATCCATCTCTGACGAGATCCTGTCAAAGTCGCAGAGGCCGCCGCCAGCGGGGTACATGGACGACGCAGTAACAGATTGAATCGAAGGACACGTAGTCATGACAACGGCCGGTTTTTGCTCCATCTGGCCGGAATAACGCAGAACAGCAAGAGAGGGAGATTGGGAGTGGGGGGAAAGGGGAATGATAGAATGAACTGAAGGGGCATAAATAGGAACGAAGAGCTGCTGTAAGCACGTGAGCGGAAAATCTTTTTTTTTTTTAAGAAAAAAAAATATTATAGTTGGACAGCACATGAAGTGAAAAGCACCAAAAAGTTTTTGACGACGTGAAATCTCTAAATTATCCTTGTTTATCACCTCGAATGATGATAGTGAACCAGGGAGACGTGTTAATAAATGAGGAGCTTTCCGAAAAGCTACTCGAATGCTCAATTTATAAAAGCGTCATGATCTTGAGGTGTTTTGGGCTTTTTATTCCCGTAATTCTACTTGAAAAAGGGTATCTTTAGAAAAATAAAATATAATGTAAATCCTAAAATAAGCTTTCTTTTTCTTCTTTTTTCCTCAATACGATGCCACGGAGGTTCCGTGCGAGTGATGCGAAAATCACCACAACAAAAAGAAATATAAATGATGATTATTTTTGTTTATAAATAATAATTGGCCTATCATTTAAAGTTTTCTCCCGATAGTTATATCCCTATCATATATATACTTAATTATATGTGACAATCAAATATTCCCGTCATATAAGGATTCTTTCATTCATTTTAATCATTCTGAATGGATAAAAGAATATATGATGGTTATTGTAAAGAACTACCATATAATATATAAAAAATGATAATCATTTAAATAACTGTCACTTTTTAATTTTTTTTTTTTGGTTTGTATGTAGGGGGTTGTTTGTATAGCAATTCAATTATGCAAAATTTATATCCAAACAATAATAATAGCATTTTCAAACAATAACAATACCAATTGAACTTAGATTAAAATCAACTTAAAATAAAATAAAAAATAGAATTCATTAAAAGTAGGGAAAAGATTCTAACAATTGCCAAGAAGTTCCACAAAATGTAAAAATAAATTCAAAATTAAATTTATTAACATTTGCTCAGTTGTAAAGTTCTCGTTCACATTCTATTTGCAAAAGATCAAATAAAAACAATTTAGTTAAATAATAAATATCTTATTAAATATGAATAAATTCATCAATTCAAAATCTTCATCCAAGAAAGCAATAACTAAACAGCACATGTTTATGTTTGGTAGCTTAGGAGATGAGAACATGGGACAAATCTTGAAGAAAACGGGCAGCCAAGTTAAAGTTGCTTTTTTTTTTACAGTCCTTTACTCATAAAAATCATGAAAATTATATAGTCATTAGTATTATTCAAACCTTATACCTTCTCTTTTTGAATGTATGACATGCTTTGTTCTAGATCTGAGTGAACAGACAATGAAAAACATTAAATTGGCTAGAATTTCAAATGGACTCGGCAGATTTTGATGAACAACAACAAAATCATGTTGAAATATGGGTGAACAGATTGGGTGAGACAATGCAGAAAAAGAAAGAAAACTATTAACACAAGTTGAAAATAAAAATGAAAGAAAAAATAGAGCATTAAAAAAGAAGCATATATGATGGGCTTTTAAAAATCCCTGTCATATATAGTTATGAGGGAATAAATGATGGGTATTTGAATGCCTATTATTTATTTAAATAAATGACGGATATTTGAAACACTTATCATTTATTATACTTTAAACACCTATCATTTAAAATTTAATTTTTTTAAAAAAATTAAACTTTAAATGACGGGCATTTCAAATACCTGTCATTTATTATGAAAACTTTAAATGATAGTTATTTGAAATACTTGTCATTTAAAATTTACTTTTTTTATTTTTAAAAAAAATTAGATTTGAATCTTTATATGATGAGTGTTTCAAACACTTGTCATTTATTGTGAAGACTTTAAACGATGATTTTTTGAAACACCCATCATTTAAAGTTTAATTATTTTGATTTAAAAAAAAGATTTAAAACTATATATGACAGGTTTTTTAAACTCTCATAATTTATTTTAAAATAATAAATGATGGGTATTTTAAACACATGCATTTATTTTCTAACTATCACCCACCTCACCTTTTGTATGACATATTTTTTTTTAACTATCATTTTTTTTTTGCATCTTACATCTAGATTTTTGTAGTAGTGAATCATATCATTTAGATTTCATGCATGAGGGATATGCATGCATTTTGAAAGGGAATAATTAAAAATAATAAGATTTAATTTTTTTCGATCAAAAGATTTAAATTTTCTTGAACGGCCTGATGAACAAGCATATTAGTATATCCATAATTACCTTTCTTGAATATGTGATTGAAGGTGATAGTCTAAATTTTCATAACAAAATCTTTAACTTTCTTCATGGTTTCTAGGAGGTGACAATCATAATTAAAGAGCTTCCCTAATGAAAAGAAAAAAATGCTTGTGTTAACTTTTTGTATTTTCTCACGAAAAAAATCAATATATAACGAAACAACATCGAATCAAATTAAAACTAATAGCAGGAGTTGTTGCATTTCTCAACATGTCCATGAAGCAATGAAACATTGAGATTGGATGGATAAATAAGTAAATTATTTTTTGAACTTTAAATTAAGTTCAGTAACACTATAAATCCTGAACTCATTTATCATAAAAATTGTTTCCCACAACTTTTAAACCCTTAATATTAATAAAAGTTAACTTTGACTATTAATTGATCAAAAAATAATAAAAAATGACATCAAAAATTATAAGAAGTGATAAAAAAATTAGATATTTTTTTGGATCATTGTCTATAATTTTTGAGTCTTTTATTATAATTTATTATTCTTTTCTGTTATTTTGTAATCAATTAACAGACAAAATTAACTTTTATTAATAATAGGAGTCGGAATACATCATTTACAAAAGTGGAGAGAACAATTTGTATGTAAATGAGTTCAAAGTTTGTGATGCTACTTGACCTAAACTTCAAAAAGTAATTTGCTCGTTTATTCAAACTAAATTGATAAGGACATGAATTAATTTTGAACCTCATGATAATTAAACTAGGCAAACAAAAAAAGTTCGAAACTTCTATAAATAGAACTAATAGTCTAATAGCGATGATTTAAGCCAACAGCATTATCAACGTGGCAGCATAATTTTGTCCACTGACGATGCTTGAATTGAAAATATAAGATATAACTCATTAACTGTACGCATAGTATAGTTATCATTATTTAGATAATGCC